CATTGTCTTGTTGAAAGATCCAATTTGGTCCAGCTTCCAATAAATGATATTCAAGCATGCCTTGATACTTCTCTGAATTCATTCTTTGAGTTATAAATGCTAAATCTGTGGTTCCATTGAATCCAAACGCACCCCACACCATTATTGATCCCCCACCCATTTGGTGTTTTGAAAATATATGTTTTTTGGTTTTTAAATTGTGCCAATAATGCTTCCAACCGTCTGGACTATTTAAGTTGAATTTTTTTTCATCACTGAACAAAACTTCAATCCATTCTTTGGACCATGTCATATGTTTTTGTGCCCAATCAAGTCTGTCACTTTGTGCTTTAATGAAAGTGGTGGCATTACAGCTTTTTTCTGAATTTTTAACATTGGAGATTTGTTTAAAACTCTCTTTTTTCATAATCAGATAAATTCTTTGTGTTACCCATTTAGAACTTTGAACAACATAAAGAATTTGTATTACAATTAGATATGTAAGCAATTTGCATATTTCAATGCTTGAAACTAAACAATATTCTATTTAAGTCATGAAATGAGTGCCTGTCCAGATAAATATGTAACATTTTTGTACGAAATTTTCAAAAATATTATTTTTCAGTGACAAAATGTTAATATTTGATTAAAATTCTTATTTTGCAGTGTGGAAACATGTAAATCCGTGTTATTTTTAATAAAACATTTGTCACTTAATGCAGCAAATTTGGGTTTCACTTTAATTTTTTCTTCTCCGTATAAATTTAAATGCACCTTAGGTGTTTGAGCTCTTTGGTTATGTCTTCTCCTCTGATGTTGTGTGTGTACACTCTTTTGATCAGTACCCTGAAAGCAGCAGCAAACTTATATTGATATGGGTTTTCCGAGTCCGCTGGTATATATAGTGGCAAGAATTCTGGTTTGTAGTATGCGTTCCTTTGTATTTCTTTTTTGCAGATTCGTATGGAGACATCTAAAAAAATGCGCTTCTGAAGGTGACATCTGGTCTAATTATTGTTTCTATATAATAATTAAATTCAATATTGAATTATCATCCATAATGACTGTTTGCTTTATTAATATTTAATATTGTCTGAAGTATTAGGATAAGTAGGATGATGGTGATTGATGAGAAATGAATTATTAGCAATACTGTTAGATATTTTTCTGTCACTGTAATTTTTACCAAAGTTCTTCAAAATTTCTTTGTTGACTGCTAGCAAATACAAATGAAAATATTAATTTTATCAAACAACAAATTAAATGGGTATCAGATATTTATTTAGGTTCTCTCTAGAGATATTCATTTATAAATCCATGCATTAAAGCTACAAATTATATGTTAATAGTAATTTAAGAAATAACATGAAACTTAAATTGAAGGCCAAGAACTGTCAACCATATTATATATTTTTTAACAATTTCAAATTATTTTATATGAATGTCCATTAAAATTGTTGTGTTAACCATTAAACAAGTTGGCTTTTGGTGGACACTACGAACAATTGCAACAAATAAACAGGATTTGAAATATGGTATATAACACTGAATGAGATGAATCAAATTCATTCTTTGATAATTTTTAAAATGTAAAATTTTAAATTTATGGAATCTTTAATAAATTCAGGTCTTACATTTCATTACAATAGAATGTTTTCATAGGAACATGGGGAAAACTCCTTTTTCTTTATTCTTAATTTTATTGTAATCGTGGGTTTAATTCAATCTCTACATACATATTGAAATGGTATAATGGTTATATTTCACAATAAATTACTAATCATCAATATGTGATTTATTATGATTATTATTATAATACATAGTAATTGGACTCGATTTTAACTGTACGGGTCTCCATTCCTTTGGATTAAGTATATATGTTTACCTTGAATGTTATTTAGCTGCTTTTTCTCATTTTCGAATTATTTCATTTGGAAATTTTAACCTTTTTAATCTAGCTTGGCCTTTGTCGTTTCCAAATTATTCTAATATTGACTACCCAGAACCTTTATTCTTACACAATGTTTTACTTTTTTTTTGTCTTGCTTAATGTGTTTATTTCCACCTCAATCTCATATTCACTCTAAACTCTTTACATATTATATTATGCTCGTGGACTCTAGTTAAATAAAATAACACCGATTGTTCGACAATCTAACAGTCACGTCAATAGTTCATAAAAGAATTCTTGTATGAGTTCAGTGCCGTCTGCTACAAATCAGGCCTCTGTTTCTGAATATTTTAATCTGCTTAAGCCAATCTTTGCTTGTTGATCATTTCCCAAACAATACAAATTTTATGAACACAACATGTAGATAGCCCTTCTAACTAAGTTGTCAGAATAGGTTAAACCACATTTTACCAAGTTGTAGGGAAGGATTTTAAGGAAAAAAGAGCTGCTAATAAACAGCTAATAAAATAGATCTTCATCTATTTAGTAAAGTAGAATTAGAAATAAATATAGTCATGCTTCTACTATTCTAAAAAAGATATATTGAATATTACAAGTATAGAGGTTCCACTGTTTGTCACATTTTGATGACTTCCCCCCATATTCATCGTCAATCGCATGCCCACATTGATCAGCTAGCCCTGTCAGCTTAAATTGGCAACACTATGAACAATCTAGCTATGCAAATTAGCATTATAAAAATAGCTATGCCATTATAATTTAGATATCTAGCTATAAATTTGAATTTCGAGTTGGCAACACTATGTTAGCTAGCTGTAGTTAATCAGTCTGCTTTGTGCGATCATTGTATGTGTTCTTGCTTTCAAAAACTGAAGAAAAACAAAAAAGAAAGCAATAATTTTTTGCTAACGGCCTTCTTTCTATCTATTGTTGTTCTAAGTCTGAAAATGGACAGTGTTTCCAACTTAGCCAAAGAATTTAATATGCTGAAATCATAATTGGAATTACTGTATCTACTATTTTAATTGATGGTATGTCTACTCCTAAACAATAATAACCTTACACAGTATATTGTACTAAACAGATATCTTTAGTGGTAGAAGGGGAAGAAGAGTAAGTTTTACAAACAATGTAATTTTTAAACTTGTACCTTTTTTAGGATGGGAATGGATTAATTGAATATCAGTTACTTATTATGAGAAAATTATTTCTATATTCATCATATTCCATATTCATTAGGTCCTTACAAACAGATTACAGTAGAACCTCTATATTCGTCTATTTTAAATATAAACTTTGGAAAAGTAATCAAAAAACATAGTGGTAATAAATATTAAAATTAGTATTTAAGAATAAATTAGTTTCTTACTGTTTTTATATGTTTAATGATTTAAAATGCATTGATTTCTGCCAAAATTAAATATCCTCGTTCAGATGACAGTGAATTGTATTCATATGGTTAGTATCTTTTTCTTTTCTACACAACCTTCCTCACAAGTTGGCGAAAAGCGTTTAAAACTGATATGCAATATCGGTTGTTTAGACTATTAATAGCCTAAACAACCGATTCCTTTTTTTAAATAATTAATGCAATAGACTTCAATAAAAAACTTGTGTCATTTACATCAATACGGCCAAAGCTTTCAATTGGGTGATTCTCTCGTTCTTCTCTCCATCAAATTTAACGTCCTAGCCAAACGACAATTTCCTTCTTCAAAAGTGCAAAACAAAAATTGTCAATTTACTTTCTCAAGAATTTTCTGAGGATCCACTTAAGTTCTTTTTTTATTGCAAATATCGACGGCAGAAAAACGTGGAGGTAATTTCCACAAACGCTAGGGTAACGTAGGAAAACTATTGTTTCCAAACAAGTACTTACTTTCTAAACGAATTAGTTGGCTTGGCAATCTTCAACGTCTAAAATATATTAAATGTCAATTTAGATTAATATATTAATCATAAAAACTTATAAGTGTATAATATCCATAGGAACCGGCGGCCGCCACGAGTTTGTGCCAGAAGCAGTGTTTACGGAAGCCGAGAGATACGCAAAAGTAAGTGGGTCCACTTTACCAGTTTTGCTAGCGCGATGAAACTATTTTGTTAACTTCCTTTAATTTTCACAGGAGGCACTAAAAGACGAGTCTGAATCCGACGACGACCTGTAAACAGATTTTAACTCACAATAATACGATTGCGAGGTTATGTAATTTTTATGTCTTAATTATTTTGGATTTATTAATAAAAGCGTCAAACTACTACACGTTTTATACGTTTATTTCAGACGCGTCTACATACGTGACAAAAAGACAATCTCTCACACAACACAAATCTTCTATAAAAAAAAATATGTATATATAAAGTGGAGGAAAAGATTTCGGACGAAAAAACGTCTCGGTTGGAAACGTACAGCGTAACGTACGGCACTTCACGGAAGTCGTCTCGAACGGATCGAGTCTCTCACAGGTATCCGAAGTAAGACAGTACGCTTCTGGTGTATCGAGGCAAGAACACGTATGTCGTATAGGTGGACATTGCTATAATAGCCAGAAGAACGGTATCTGTACGATTAGTTAAGGAGATTTGTTACTGACACACACAAGAAAATGTAATCTTTACTATAACATTAAAAGTGTTCAGCAAATAAACACACAAAAATAAAACACCTTAATTTATTGCTGAGATATATATATAATTGAAAAACAAACGTTTTCAGGCTATCATCAGGTCGAAAATGGAACAGATACGTTCCATGTATAGAATACAAATATTTAAATCAAAATTTAGAACAAAATTTTTTTTGTTCTAAAAATGGGACGAGGCAACTATTATAAAACCTGTATCTTTCCCCACTTTATCAATGACAGTGGAGAAGATTGAGATATATAGAAGTAGGCTACGTGAGGGATGCCGAGAGCCTGCCGACGGCATGGAAGTACATGGTTAAAAACTTCCAATAAACTAATTCTAGCCTGAATTTTTAGTGAACTTTTTAACCATGTACTGTACTGTACTTCCATGCCAACGGCAGGCTCTCAGCATCTCTCGCATTTAAACATCCCTCACATAGCCTACTTCTATATATCTCAATCTTCTCCGCTGTCATTGATAAAGTGGGGAAAGATACAGGTTTTATAATAGTTTCCTCATCCCATTTTTAGAACAAAATTTTGATTTAAATATTTGTATTCTATACGTGGAACGTGTCTGTTCCATTTTCATTTTTGACCTGATGATGGCCTTTTAATTGGGCTGAAAACGTTTGTTTTCAATTATGTATTTTTCTCAGCAACAAATTAAGATGTTTTATTTTTATGTAATCTTTGCTTAATTGTTTAAGGTGCAACCCATAAATATAAAGGCACAACTTATTACGCAAATTAAAGCAAAACCAACTTAATTTTGAGGTAGTTTCAACTTACAAACAATATAATTGCATGATTTGTTAGTAACAACTTAATAAATGAATTTAAATCAAAGTCATTTTGAACCGCAGGGGATAATTAACATTCCCTCTCAAACCCAGAACATAAATGGTAATTTGAGGGATTCGAAGAGTTAAAATTTTTTTTTTAAATTTTATAGACAAGATTATTACCAGTATTACAGACTTTTCTCTCGAATTTGTAATTTAAAATTTTCAAACAATAATTGACAGCCAAATATTTGGACTCAGTTCAGTTCTCCTCCCCAGTAACAATATACAATTAACATTAGTTTTTAAAATTAATCTGCACTGTGGGCAAAAGAAGTAAATGTCCGAATATTGAAGTAAAAACATCCGGCAACATTTGGTGGCACTGTGTTATATTTAAAAACATTTTACAAAGGCAGATGCCATCATTTATACAGACTCGAAATTGGTTCTTAAGGCTCTCCATGCTCAACATGATAAGTCCCCTACCAAATCATTATCATCATCCTCAACCTTCACACCAAGCTTATCTGGACCCCGGTTCACAGAGGCATTCCTATCAACAAACAAGTGGACAAACTCGCCAAAACAAAACCCCTCAACTCAAACATCATCCACTACATAACCACCGAAGACCAACTCTCTCATCAAGTCCAACAACGAGAAACATATGAATAACAGATGGAACACTTACCCCAAAAACTATCTCTACCCTTAATTTTCTAGCACATCAGATATTTCTATTCCTGACTGCCGCATCAACATCCTCATCAACTGCGCAAGAACCAACTCTGCTTACAAACCACTTTATACTCGCAACATCTGCACCACTGACCAGTGCAAATACTGCCCAAACAAAACAAACACAACCATATACCGCCTCAATGAGTGTTCAAATTCAGACATTAGGGGAACAATTCTCTCTGATAACAGTCTTACAAAAATCATCTCAATATCAGCGACTACCTTCAATTAACCCAACTGACGTTTGCTTTCAATCCTTATCGATCTTCTTTAATGAATACAAAAATACCTACAACTACTAAATCAATCAAACTGTTTTCTCATCTCTCACAGTGTCTGCCAACTGTCAACAAACAGTAAATTCTACCACTTATTTTTGACGTTGCTCATTCACAGAGTCCCGAACCGACGACTCCACATCCTCGTGCACTCCTTCAATCCCTTCACATTTATACTGATTTTGTCAAATGTTTCTTCTAGACCTTTCAAGTGCTTCAACTTGAGATCGCCATCTGTTCCTCCAACCAACTGCACTCATAGACCCAGAAAAACAACTACACGGGGCGAAATAGCCAACGTAGCAAATGCCTAACTTCACCCCAGAGGGTGGCAAGCAAGCAAGCAAGCATTTTATATTTTTAACTGCTTAATACCGGTTATTAGCATTTACAATTTTTTTATAAAAAAATTGTAAATGCTAATAACCGGTAAAACTGTCATTAAGTCCGATCCTACCGGAGATACCCATCATCCCCTCAACTTTTAACATCCATCCCGTAATACACAAACTTGCAAAATTTCAGAAATTTTTGGCAAAAAACACAGAATTTATTAAGCTGGAAAGAGGGCAAACAAAATCGGCCAAACTAACATCCATATGTAAAGAAAAACACCCCAATTTTTGTTTTTGCATTTCTCGACATTTTGAGGTCCTCCGAATCCAAAAATGTATATTTCTGGGAGGGGGCAGTTTTGACTGACACCCATACTTTCCTCTGTTGACGTAATATAAAACTCGAGTCCACTTTGAAGTGGTAATTGTCGTGGGAGAGGAAGTCATCTACCAAAGAAAGGTTAGTTAACAAATTAGATTATGCTTAAATGTGGAAGAATTAGCTTCTAACTTCTAGCGTCTCACTTCAAAATTATAGGAGATGAAACAAAAAATATCTATGCATAATAACTAAAAACAATCACCGTTTTGCATACGTCTTAATATTTGTCCTATCTATATCCTGCTATGTCATTTGTTTTTACAAGAAATGTGTTGTTTTCAATAGATACTGACATCAAAAGTCAAAAACAAAAAAATTTATAATTTAGAAAATAGATATTTTATTATTTTTTACTCTGTCCTAAGAGCTGTAAGAGAACCTTTTATCCAGCCCGTGGGGTGTCGGCCATGTCCGTCACGGGGCAGCCGGGGTGACTGGGAATGGACCACCTTCCAAAAAATTCTATATTAGTATATTTACGGTATGGTAGTTTCTCCATTCTCCAAACTGGAGGGTGAAAAGATCGGCTCAGTTAATACTACTAGAAACATCCCAGAAGCTGGAACTTTATATTGACCGTGTCTAAAAGTAAACAAAGCCCGAGGCAAGTCACGTGATTGGACCTTCTTCAACTTCCAGTAGAATGTGGAAGTTGTGTTAATAGTCGATGCAAAAAACATCGCGTGTATCAGTCACGTTTCTTTAATTAACTATATTCTCACAAAATTATTGTTAGGATATGTTATTGTTTATACATAAAAGTAAATTTAATTCGACTTCTCCATTTCTATGACGCTTTTTTAGAGAAGTGCAACATTCCTCTCTTATTCTCGCTTTGTTTACTCAATACTATTTGGAAGTGTCTACAATTACTCAAAAAACTCTTATTTATATT